TGTGTGCGAGGTCTCTGGTGCTGCTTTGGGCCGCCCCGCCGATGCAAGTGCACACGTTGGCGCTCAGAGCCCGGCCCGGGCCCAGTGTCTTTACAGCCGTCCCATGGTGGATGGCCTTCTGCCCACAGTGCAAGCAGTCACCCTCCTACAGGGTCACAGTCATCACCCTATCATGTTTCGGGGGGAAAAATAGATTCGTAAATAGCAGAAGGAGCTGCTCTGACCGGAGTAAGAAGGCCTGAAAGGAGGGTCTCTGGCCATCTGGTGAAGGCCGTCAGGCTGACTAGGAGGGAGAGCAGCCTGAGCTGGGGCCTCCACCCCACCCAGCTCTGTCAGCAAGGTCAGTGAGGAGGAGCGAGGTGGGCAGGCGGCTCCTGAATGCGCTGTTGCCACCTGTCTCCGGGACCCCCCGGCCCAGCCTGTAGACACGCCCACCGAGCCCCAGCCAGGTGCCCTGGGCGGCTGGCAGACACACTGCCACTCACCCGGGGCTGGCGCGTGACAGCTCCCCTCCGCAGTGTTTTCATTGTCCAGAAGTGGAGGAGGGCTTATTGAAGGCTGCTGGGACAGTATTCGACCCAAACCCTCTACTGATTGTGAACCAAGCTGGGGTTGCTACACTTGCCTGGAAGCCTGGTCTCGTCAGAGAGTGGCTGATCACAGAGAGTGCCCTGTCGGTCTGGGAGTGTTCCCTGACCAGGGACCCGCGCTGCTGCTCAGTCCTGCCGTGTGGCAAGTGTCTCTCCACCTTTTATTCTGCCCTGGGCCCAAGCTGCAGACGACACTGACCAGGCCCGGGAGTGCGGTGTCTCCCGAGCCGCGAGGAGGAAGCTCGGCTGGCTTCTGTCTTCTCAGACCCCGGGCTGTGCCCTTGACAGTGGGGGCGGCCGACCCCTCTAAGGTGACTTTGTTTCTGCACAGTTGTGACTGTCTTGGGGTCAGCGCAGCGGGGGAAGGAGGTGACAGATGCTAAAGAAGTAGGGCCGGGGGACACCCACACCCTGCGCATGGCCTTTGACCCAGACAGGGATCATGCCTGTCACTCGCGGGTACCCTTTGTTACCGTCTGCGTGTTTGAATAAAGTCTGAAATGCTGTGACTTTGTTTGTCAATAAAGATACGAAACCTGTGACTGGAGACCTCCGATTTTGTCACTGCCTCGGTCACCACCGGCACTCCTGCTGGTGGCTCTCAGGCTGGGCGCGGTGCGACCTGGCTGCCCCTTCCCTGGCAGCGCACCCACACCGCCCCGTTCTCTGCTGCCGACACTGCCGCCGGGCTTCTGGCCCTTCTCTCTCCTCTCTCCCTTTTTTTGTTATTTTTTGTGGTTCCTTCCCCATAGGGCACATGTAGTTTCTGAGTAGAAGACGGAGATGGGGAAAGGAAAGTGCCCCCTTGGGGGATGGCCACACTTCTTTGTCCATTCTGGGGATTTGGGGTGAAATCCCTGTTGGAGTTTGGGGTATGTGCGCACACCAAATCTGGGACTCTAGTTGGCTCTGTGGGATCCAGGGCCTGCCACCTGCAGAACCCTTCCTTTTGTTTTACTGAGTCTGAAGAGCCCCAGGGAGTGCTAAGAAGCAGAAGGTGGGGACAGATGGCTGCCCCCCGCAGAGCTGGAGCGAGCCAGGGAGGAGGAGAGCGTTCCTAAGGGAGAAAGTCTTCCTGGAAGAGAGTAAGTGGTGAGGAGCTCATTTCCTCGGGAGAAGCGGGTGAGCCGGGCGTGGGTGAGGGCCAGTAACCAGCGGATGGATTGCCCACCGCATCCTCCAAAGGCATCAGGCCCTTTCCAGACTGCTTGCTGTGGGGGAGCCGAGCCTGCAAACCAGGTTAGCTGTGAGGGTGTATCGGGCCCAGGTGGGCCAGACCATGGCAGGTGTGAGCAGGTAGTAGAGGAAGGGGGTGTGGGGGACACAGGAAGCAGTGCAGGGCGCTGCTCCCCTTCCTAGGAGAGAGGAGGTTGGGTGGTCAGAAATTAGAGGGCCCGTGAGGAAGGACGTGAGGCCCGTGGGTGCAGCCTGAGGGGCTCTGAGGCTGCAGCTGAGAGTGTGGAAACTGCGGACAGGTTTACACGGTCCCCGGGACCAGCTGTGGCTGCCAGGGTGCAGCAGTGCTGCCGTGGCTTCATGCTGTCAGGAAGGAGCGCGTCTGTTCTTCCCACTCGCCTGCAGCCTCCACCTTCCCGCACTGCCCTCAGAGAGCGGGCTGCTAAAGGGGGCTGTAGCCGCCCAGCCCCCCGCTCAGAGCAGACCAGTGGCTCTGGGGCTGCCACAGTAACACAACCGGCTCGCATACACCTGCTTCCGCTCGTACCTGGGCTCCCTGGTGACAGCGAGACACGACTGCTCCACGGCCAAGATGTACCACTCCCCCCACAGAGATGATCTCGCTACGTGCTGAGTCATTGAGAGTCACGACCTGTTTCTAAGCCGTGATCGTTACTCGATTGCGTGGTGGGTTACCCAATGCCCAGGTGGTGGCGGGCAGCTCCAGCCTCTAGTCCCCTGACATCCCGAGGTTAGGTGTTCAGTGTGGGCCAGGGTTCAGTAGCAAGGCCGGAGCTATTTCTCCAAGGGAAAATGGGCACCTGTACAAGAGGGCACCTACTCCAGAAGCGGGCGCTCTGCGGAGCTTGCCGGAGGCTCGGACCCGGCATTGTTCTTGGTAGAAATGTACCACGGCGGCCCGCTGAGCCGTAAAGCCCAGGAGGCTGCGCAGCACTAGATACTTACTAAGAGTCACTCTACCCAGAAGGATCGTCCCCGAAGGATCGTCCTCGGCAAAGCCTCCCCGGGGCGAACCGTTACTCCAGTCGGCCAGTTCAGTTCCTCCATTGGTTTTCTATACAGGACAATTACATTGCCTCTAGCTTTCTATTTTCGCTTTAACTATTGCTTTAAAAATATTTTCATTCAAATTTTTTCAGGGGCCAGCAGGGGGCATGGTGGGCTCACACATGGCTGACTACAGTTCAAGTCCCGGACCTGTTGGCCTGCTTTCTCACTTTCTCTCTCTCTCTCTTACTCTGTCCCTCTCTGGTCAAATTAAAATAAATAAAGTTAAATAAAATAATTCTTAAGTTTTTTTTATTACGATCATTGTTTTCCACGAATTTTACAGTGAAAATTTAATTCGTTTAACCAGTTTGAGCTTTTGCTCTTGTAAGCTGTGAGTTCTCTCTTGTGGTTATTATCTCGTCCATGTTTGTTTTCTGCGAGCAGATTTTGCAAATCAAAACCTAAGTCTTATATATCTAAATTAGCATATTTTAACTGATGTCAGCTTCTTCTCATTCTTTTTTCGTTTTCTTTATTTTTAGTTCTTTTTTGCTATAGGGTGTTTGTGATGGCCAGAAAAAAAAACAGAGAGATGGAAAGTGAGAAGTTGCCTGCCAGAGGGCATGGGCCCACCACAGTCCCTTCCCCTCATTCTCCTCTGGGGATTCTGGGCAAGCATGAACATGTGCCCAGCATGATTTTCAGTCTGCGGTTCTGGACTTGAACTGCAGTCACCTGTGTGGGAGTCCAGTGCCTTAACCACCACATGCCCTGCTGGTCCCTGTTCATTGTTTCTAAAAAAAAAAAATAGAAGATCAAGCGTACAGTATGCATTTCCTAGCTTCTCCGATCCAAGGTTGGGTTTTCGCTTCTACGCACATTGCATTATGTTAACTGCAGACATTGTACCGTCTACACAGTGGATGTATCAAAGAGCAGAACTTTTTCCATATATGCGCTGCTTTGCTCAACTGTGATGTATTCATAGATATACTAAGCACAAATTTAAAGGTAGGATTTGGGACCAGCCCATGGTGTGGTGGGAAAGGTAGCTAGATCCCCCATGGCCAACTATGCCATTCAAGTCAGGACCCAGCAGCTTGAAAAACACTGGGTGTGTGCGTACGTGCCCAAAATCTCAAGAGGAGAATGGAGAAAGGATTGTAGCATGGTCATCCCCTGGGGAGTGATTTCTCACTTTCTGTCTCTCTCTCTCTCTGGCGAGCAAATGTGCCCTCTGGCAAAAATTCTAAAAATTAAGAACAAGGGAGGATTTGGAAGGCTCCCTTGACCTAGACCCTGGAGGTGAAGAAGGATGTAGCTGGCAGGCACGGAAAGGTCTGGCTGGCCTGCCCCTCATCTAGCGTTGCTCAGATCCGGCACCTCTGGCGCAGGCTGGAGCGAACACCTGTTAACCACTGCCACATGCAGCAGGGTCACGAATGCCCAGTCACACCAGGCTCTGAAGACCCACAGGCAGACCGAGTGCAGCAGACGGAATTGCTGGAGGCAGGGGGTCCGTCACGGAGATGCCAGAATGCCAGGGATTGCCAGGGGAGCCTCACAGGACGGGGCAGAGGGGCTGTAGCTGCAATGCGAAGCCGGGCTCAGCCCCACTCGGGCACTCAGCAGGTTAGAGAAGGCGGTTAAGGGGTCAGAGGGGCCTGGGATGATGGGTGCAGCAGATTTGGTGAGATAGTTCGGTTCTAGGCAGGTGGATGGGAAGGTTTCAGGAGGACCAACTAAAGGGTAAGGCTGGTTCCGGAAGGGCCGTCCCGTCTGGTCGGGATCAATGTGACCGACTGAACGCTGTTTCTACTGCTTTTCTCGCTCCCCTCCCCAGCAGTCTGGGTGACGGGAGAGCAGTGGCCGCAAGCACTGAGTCCTGGTCTGTGTCCAGTCACTTCATCTCCCCAACAATCATGACCCATGGGCAGAAATGTTGGGTCCTTTGTCCCAGGTCACACGGCTCTTGTTAGGCTCGAAGGCAAGGGGACTGGCCCTGAGACAGACCCAATAGGCAGTTCCCGGGGTCCGTAATCTTCAGCTCCTCCTCTGGCATTAGTTGTTGCTGTCGTTTCTTTATTTCTTCCATGAGCAAGAGAGACAGAGAGCGCCAACAGGTCTTCCCACCAGGACGTCCCCGAGCCTCAGCCGGCCCGGGTCACCAGCACATTTGTGCCCTACGCACTCAGGGAGGTCTCCAAGTCTGGCAAATCATCCCATTTTCCGCTGTGCCACTGTCCCGGCCCAGACATCAGTGTTTGCTTAAGTTTATGGGGTGCGGCTCAGAGTTCCCCCAATGTTGTACTGAGAAATTCCCACAGGTAAAGAAAGCTGGGGAAGATCGCGGTGGACATCGACTGCTATCTACTTTAATTCAGCCACTGTTGGCATTTCCTGTTCGCTTTATCTAGGCTCGGGTATGGTGTCCGAAAATCCTACACACGGGGGCCAGACCTGGAGTGGCAGTGAAGTCCAGTGCTCTGCCAGGCAGACCCACACGCGGAGGTTACTAGCTCGTGTCCAGAGACTTCCGAGTGCACTGGGCGTATGCGTGCCCATGATGGGCTAGCTGAGGCTGGGGCTGGACCATGGCATCAAGATCCTGTCCAGTGGGCCAGTCACGTGGCATGGTGGTTAAGGCAGCCTGACCCCACCTGGCTGACTATACCATTCAAGTCCTGGACCCAGCAGCTTGAAAAACCCAGGGTGAGCCGGAGATACCCTAGACCTGAGAGGACTGGAGTACAGCTGGAAATCGGCTCCCTCCGATGGGACTGAGGTTCCCCGAACCTCCTGCCAGAAGCAGTCATCAACCTTTCTGCAGGAATCTAATGAGCCCTTAGCCTCGCCTGCCTCTGCACCGTGTTCAGTACTCGCTGAACAAGAACCAGGCTGACGGCCCGGCCCGGCACAGAACGCGCCTAGGACAGCTGCCAAACTTGAGCCCGAATCTGAACAGCTCAGCAAGCACACAAACGGCGCATGAGGGGCGACCAGCACACCCGTGAGGGGAGACAGCCGAGAACCAAAACTGCTTCTTCGACAAGTGGCAGAAGAGAAAAGGTAGGAAAAGGAGCTGTTAAAAATGTGCCTTTTTTTTTGACAGGGTCCGAAGCGCTGTTATAAATTTAAAAAAACCTGGGGCCAGCAGGTGGTATGGTAGTGAGGGCACTGGATCCCACATGGCCAACTGTGTGGTTCAAGTCCCAGACCCAGTGGCTTGAAAACTACACTGTGTGTGTGTGTGTGTGTGTGTGTGCTGCATGCATGTCCAAGAAAAGAATGAAGAGTAGAGGAGAAGGGACTGCTGTGTGGCCATTCCCCCAGGGGGGTGATTTCTTACTTTTCCTCTCTCCCTGGCAAGTACACATCCCCTATGGAAAAAATCTTTTTAAAAATTTTTTAAAAAGTGTTTTGTTTTGTTTTTTTTTTGAGAGATTTTCACTATAGGGCGTGTGCGCTCGCCAGAGAGAGACAGAGAGATAGAAAGCGAGAAATCACCACCCAGGGGGGATGGCCACGCCGCAATCCCTTCTCCTCCATTCTCCTCTCGGGATCTTGGGCACGCACGCACACGCGCCCGGCGTGAGTTTAAGCCACTGGGTCCGGGACGTGAACCGCGGTCGACTACATGGGAGTCCAGCGACATAGCCGTTACGCTAACTGCTGGTTCCCCAAAAAAAGTTTTTAAAATTAAAATTGGGTCCAGCAGGTGGTATGGTGGTTAAGGGCATTGGACACCCACATGACCGACTGTGGTTCAATTCCGAACCTGGCAACTTGCTTTCTCACTTTTCCTCCCTCTCTCTCTTGTTTTCTCCCTCTCTCTCTCTCACTCTGGTCAAATTAAAATGAATAAAGTTAAATAAAATAATTCTTTAAAAAATTAAAGTTAAATAAATAAATTTAAAGCGATTCGAGAAACATATCAGCCAAATATAGTATAAGGACCTTACTGGGCCCCTGATTCTAACTAACCGTAAAAAGACATTTATGTGACAAGTGGAGACATTTAAACATTGGCTGACATGAGGTAGGTGCATTGTGGGAGGAAGATGAGACCCCTCCACACAGTCCATTCACACAACCCCCCTCGTCCAGCCTTCCAGCCCACCAGATCTCTGTCACTCGCACACGGGGCTGACCAGGTCAGGGATTCGAACCGCAGTCATGTGGGAGCCAATTTCTCATGAGCAGAGTGGCACCACTGCTCCATGGAGCCAGCCCAGGAAGTAACTGTATTTTTGAAACTTAATCATTGTACGTCTAAACTATTTTTTAAGAGAGAATTTTGCTATAGGGTGTGTGCACTTGCCAGAGACAGAAACAGGAGACAGAAAGCGAGAAATTGGCCCTCCCAGGTGGGATAGCCACACCACAATCCTTTTTCCTCCACTCTCCTCTTGGGATTTTGGGTGCACATGCACACGCACCTGGTGTGAATTAAGCCACCAGGTCTGGGACTCAGACCGTGGCTTACTGTGTGGGGGTCCAGCGATGTAACCATTACACCATCTGCTGGTCCCAGAAAACCATTTCTAATTGGTTATGATAATGCTGCTTTACTAAGGGTGCAGAAAAAGTCATACTTAAAAGTAAATAAATGAGGCCAACAGGTGGCATGGAGGTAATTGCACTGGACTCCCACATGGCTGACTGCAGTTCAAGTCCTTGACCTGGTGGCTTGCTTTCTCGCTTTCCCTCTCTCTCACTCTCTGTCTCTCTCTGGTCAAATTAAAATAATAATAATAATAAATAAAGTTGGGGCCAGCCGGTGGCATGGTGGTTAAAGATGCTAGACTCCCACATGGCTGACTGCAGTTCAAGTCCTTGACCTGGTGGCTTGCTTTCTCACTTTCGTTCCCTCTCTTTCTCTCTCTCCCCCTCTCTTTCTCTCTCTCTCTCTTTCTCTTTCTCTCGCTTTGTCCTTCTCTAATAAAATTAAAAATAAATAAAGTTAAATAAAATAATTTTAAAAAATAATAATAAAGTTACATGAAAAAATTATTTAGAAAAAATGGGGAGGCACCAGGTGGCATGGTGGTTAAGGCACTGGACTCCCACATGGCCTATCATGGTTCAAGTCTTGGATGTGGGGGCTTGGAAGTCACCCAGGCATGTGTGTGTGTGCCCAGGGTCCCAGGAGGAGAAGGGAGGAGAGAGGATTACTGTGTGGCCATCATCCCTGGGGGGGTGATTTCTCGTTTTCCCTCTCACTCTCTATCTCTCTCTGGTGAGTGCACATACCCTATGGCAAGACCTAAAAATAGAAAAAGCATAAAAATGGAGTCACCCTGTGGCCCAGTGGTTAAGGGAGCCAAATCCCACATGGCCAACCACATAGTTCAAGTCCTGGGCCCAGCAGTTTGAAAAGTCACTGGTTGCATGTGTACACATGCCCCAAACCTCGACGGGATGAAGGAACTGTGGTGTGACCATGCCCCCGGGGAGCTGCTTTCTCCCTCTCCCTCTCCCTCTCCCTCTCCCTCTGGCCAATTAAAACAAACCAAAAAGTCAACACCATTTCAAACAAAAACTCTTAGCCAAGCAT